TGGGGGTTGCCGGAGAAATCGCCGGACGGCCGGTAAAGGCCGGTCGTGGTCGCACTGCACACACAGTGGCCCAGTTATGTCAGTCGACCGTCGGTTGTGCCGGAGGCATTCGATGGCCGTTTCGTGTGCGTGGGTTGTGCTAGTCGCACCGCCAACGCCTAAGTCATGTCCGGTTATGCACTGGCTAATGTCTGTCGCGCCCGATAAGGCCCAGTTGACGTTGGCCGTGCTTAGTAGCATGCCGGCAAGATAAGACGTACGCTAGTACACGCGGTCATTCACGACCGTGCTCAGTAAGTCTGACAAGGCCCGATAGCACCCAGGCCGTGTCAGTCCATACCAGTGACCGCGCTCAGGCATCAGTAAGCCAGCGTGGAATCGAGCCAGTGATCGACCGCTCGTCCATAGCGAGCCGGGGGTCAGGCCAGTCAATGAACCAACTCATGTCAGTCCAGTTTCATGTTTAACCAGTTCCGGTTATACTTGTTTAGCTTAGCTATCATGTTAAGTCCAGAATCAATTAGTCAGTTCAATAATGATTAGTCTTGATCAGTATATTCAGTTACGCTTAATCAGTCAGTCAGTACAAGGTTTAGTTTAATCATGATCAGTCATGTTTAGTAGGTTCACTTATGTTGAGCCAGTTCAGTTCAGTAATTCAGTTAAATTTCAAGTCCAGTCCAGTTCAATAATTTCATGATAGTTCAGTTCCGAGTTTAATCAGTTCCGGTCATACCGGTTAAGTTCAGATATCATGTTTAAGTTCAGTAGAGCATCTTAGCATGTTAATCAGCTATTTTTATTAGTCTGAGCATAGTATTTAGTAAATGTTTATATTATTTTCAGTTTGATCAGGATGCAGATATCAGCACTTACATTTTCAGACCAGCAGTTCAGGTGGGGACTCAGACTAAGTACTACATTGTTTATAATTGCTCTACCATGTTCGAGGTATGTAATTTCAGTAACCGCTCGGGATGGTCGCCGGTCCATTCTGAGTTCTAGTGGCCTTATCTAACCACTAGAGTGTGCACATGGTCCGGTATTAGTTGTGCCGGGAGATAGCGGCATTAGTTTGTGCCGAGCGGCATTAGTTTGTGCCGAGCAGATTCAGTTACGTGACTTCGGTCGCGAGTACGTGACTTCGGTCGCGAGTACGTGACTTCGGTCGCGAGTTCAGACCGGTATCAGTTTCAGTTCAGATATATATGCTTAGCTCATGATATTGTTATTATTTACAATGTTTTGCATTAGTATGGGTTTCCACGGAGCACAGTGCCTTAGTGCTCATTCCCCAGTTTTATCATATTTTTCAGGAACAGCGTCGGACGAGAGGAGTGAGCTGGTTTGTGGATCGTGGTCTCAGATATGGCTAGCAACCATTGTACATCATTGTACAGCTATGTTTTGCCACGTATGACTTCCGCTGTCACTTTACGATATTTCAACTAGCATGTCAGTTTTTATTTTTAAACTGATTTATCAGACAGATTTTTATAAAGTGTTACATGCAAGTTGATCTAAGTTAATCCGTTTATTCTTCAAGGTTAAATTTAAATAATGGTAACGGATTTCTTAAGCAATGAATAGTTTTTAGTAGCATCCCGAAAAGGATTTCGCAAATAAATATGTATTATTAAGAAAAGAATTTGCGAAAATTGCGCTCTGATAATTAAGGAAAAGCGGGGTGTTACAGTTTAATCATATTTCGACGATTATCAATTTAGCAATCATATGTCCTATAAAAAATTTATATTTGCTTTTTAATAAATATAAAATGTATTACCTCCTATTTTTAATAGATGTCATATTGAGAAGTTGCACTTTAATTAAGAATTTTTTTTTGTCAATAATAACCTTATTTAATGAAGATAGAGATGAATATTTTGAGAAAAAGTGAAAAGTGAATATGAAGAAAAGACGTAATGTATTTATTAGCTAAATGAAGGTAATAATGGAAAAATATGTACAAAAGATCCAAAACGACATTTATTTAGCAAATAGTTGATAAAACTAGAACGACATTTAAAAAAAAATAGGAGGGAGTATTATTTATCAATTCTATTGAAAAACTAAAAGAATTATTATTTATCAAGAATATTGTATGATATGATCTTAAAAAATTGTTTTCGAAATAGGACGAACGAGTTCACAGGCGATTCATTTTTTTTTAAAAAAAAAATAAAAATAAAAATATAATATTTTTTAAAGTATTTAATAAATTAGAAATAAAATGTTACATAACTCAAAAACAGTACATACAATATACCAAAACATTAACAATATAAAAAAATAAAGAACTTAAAAAGGTTAAAAATCCTAAAATAATTTAATCCTATCAACAAGGAATATTAAAAAAAAAAATCCTAGCAAAAACGAGGTGACCCTGACACTATTGGAAAAAAACTAGTGGAAAACTAGTTATTTAATTATTGGGATGCATTTAGCAATATCAACCTTTATACTTATTTGTTAGTTTTGATTTTGTCAAATTAACGGTAAAATTGTATTTTTAGAACCGCTAGTTTAACCGTAGTATTTATAATTCCAAAATTGACTTTTTATCTTTTGACCTGTAAATTAGTATTTTGCTGCAATTTCAGCTATTTAGGACTGAAATTGCAACAAAATTTAGAATTACAGGACCTAAATTGCTAAAAAAAATCAATCCAAAAGATTTCTTATTAGCAATTTAAATCCTGTAATATTTAATTTTGTTGCATTTTCAGCCCCAAAGGACTGAAATCGCGTTTAATTTTAAAAAATTATATGACCAAATAGAAAAAAATATTCAATTCGTAGGACTAAAAATGTGACTGGATCAAACCAAGATAACTAAAATTATTTTTGCCATCACTTAATAGAGAGTTTCATCGATTGGTTTGAAAACAAAAGGTCAGTAAAAAGAAGATGAAGAAATAATGAAATAATGTGGTCTGATTTTATGACTTTATGGGATTACTAAAATATTGCGTTGATTTATGAAAATGATTGAAACTCTATAATATTGTGACACCAAACATAATGTGCCACATCATGTTGTGACACCATAATATTGTGCCATATGTGGTGCCATAGAATTTCTGACGTAA